ATATTTGTTGGTATTCTATAAATCTGTTGGTATTCTATAAATCATGTCGATTTTTAGCTAACGAGGATTTTCTTTGAGAAAATAGTACAAGTTACTGATCCTCTCTTTATTAAAAAAATCAAAAATTGATTCTACAAATCCGCAGCCTTCCAAACGACAGGTTTATCTACGGACTATCAACTATTATATTTTGTCGATTTTATATAATTCTTTTTTTAAATACAAGACCTTCCACTATCCAAACTATAAAATGTATTTAGGAAATAATATAAAGACCCGTCAAAGTTCACTTCTCATATCAAAAGTATGCCTTTGTATTTCCATTTAATTTAGTACACCCCCAAAGAGTGCCTTCCCAATTTAAATTTAATTCACTAACCCCAAAAAAGTATACTTCCCTTTTAACCATGTCCATTCGCTAAACCCAAAAAGTATGCTTTAAAAATGAGAGCCACTTTTATTCAATTTCTGTGAGTCCCCGAAAAAAAAACCAGCTCCAAATAAACAAAATTCCAGCGACATTCCACACAAAAACAAAATTAGACAAAAAGATTGAAATGCAACAAAAATTGGTTGCTGCTACACATGTGTGGTTGTTTGTGTGTAACAACACAAGCCTCCCTCACACCCACACCAAATATTTACACCCATACACAACCACTTCCACTCACTATCAGCAAATAGTGAGTGGCTACTTAAAAGTTAACCTGAAACAAACAAAAACAAAAAAAAAATTGTGTGTGGAAATTTTATGCAAATTTTCGACAACATTACAAATTGCCGGAGGGGGGATGGGAAGGGTGTTTAAATGGGTGAATGGTAGAGAAGTGCATTTCGTACTAGGAAACTTGATAGTACACATTCGCGTTTCCATTTAGATTGCATTCTAGCTGCCACTATTATTCTAGGTTAGGGTTTACTTTGTTTCATTCATTTCACCAATTTTGTTAACGAAATTTTTGTTGTTGGTGTTTTTTTTTCCTAATTTGTTTTGTGTGTCTCTTTCCTTTTTCCTGCATTTGCACATTCTTGCCAAGCTTGTTGTTACAATTTTTTCAATTAATTCTACATGCAATTGATTTGTAAATTTTTTGTTTTCACTATCAGTACCTCCACCGTTTTCCTCTACACTTTCTCCTCCACTTTTCCTTCCTCTTTACCACCCTTTTTCCTTCCTTTTTCTGCCTCCCTATTTTTGCCTGTTGTCCATTAGTTTCTTCCCACCTTCTTTCCCTCCCTTGCCTTTCGGACAACTTGCAAATTGTTTGATTGTTAAAATATTCACTGTTTTTGTTTTTTTGCTTGTGTGCGAATTGTTTTGATTGTGTGTGTACACTCTGTACACTCACGTTGTAACTCACTGTAATTTTTTTCGCTTCTCTCCTCTTCTTCCCCACTGTCCATTTTTAATGGCACACACTGTAATGTAAAGCAATCGTGAACCAATCAATTGTAGATTTTCCGCTAGCAGGTTTTTTTTCCTTTGAATTGCACGAGGAAAACACTTTTTCCGGAATATTGGTAAATAATTTTCGCGGACAATAACAACAAAAAGTGGAAAATTTGAAAGAAACCGATGGACAAAAATTTGTATTGCCCACTTCGAAGTGAAGACCTGTCGGAAAATATTTTGTGTATAATTTAACGACGAAAGCCCTTTCCTGAATCTTCTATACCTGAAAGAAAGACCTTTCTTGCTCCTCTATACCCTGAAGATCTTCTTTGGGATTTTCTATGGCCCGATGACCTTTGGATGGTATCCTTATTATGGAAGGGTCTCTGTGAATCGTCCAAAGATAGTCTACCCTCAATAATTTTTTTTTGGAAAGTAGGTCCTCTTTGGACATTGCCAAACCAAAATATCTTCTACAGTCTGAAAAATAACTCATATGGGTCCTCTGTAGGAGGAATAGCTTATGTGGGTCTTCTGAATCCAGAAAACCTTCTGTAAAAAAAATTGCATTTCCCACTTTAAGGCGAAGGAACATATTCTGTGTGTCTTTAAACGTCGAAAGACCTTTTCTGCATCCTTTATACATCGAAGATCTTCTTAGGGATCTTATAAGGCCCGATGCCCTTCGGAGATTCTCATTGTTATGGACGGATCTTTGTGTATCGTCCATGAACAGGTGACTCTCTATAAATTTGTTTTGGAAAATAAGTCCTCTTTGGACATTGTAGAACTAAAAGACCTTCCATAGTCCGAAGAACTCATGTGGATCATCTGAAAGAGGAATAGCTTCTGTGGGTCTTCTGAAACCAGAAAATCTTCTGTGAATCTCCTAATGTGATTTTGAAGACCGAATGTGAGTTTTCTATAGGTGGAATAACTTCTATGGACCTTTTAAAGCCCATCGACGTCAGATAAGCCTTCTATAACAAGAAGACCTCATAAATGTCTTCTAAAGGTAAAAGACCATTTGTGAATCTAGAAAACGTTCTATCAGTCTTCTATGACATGAAGACCCTCCTTGGGATCTATTAGAGCCTTAGAATCTTCTAGAAACTTTCTGTGAACATTCTATAATGAAAAAAATCTTCTCCTGATCCTCTGTAGATAGAATAACTTCTGTGAATCTTCTATAGGCTATGTAGTCAGAAGACGTTCTGTAGGCCTTCTAAAGCCAAAAGATTTATATAGAATAACTTCTGTGAGTCTTCTATATGCTATGTAGTCAGAAGACGTTCTGTAGGTCTTTTAAATCCAAAAGATTTTCTTCTGACGATTCTGTAGCCTGAAGACCTTCTTTATGTCTCCAAAGCCACTAGTTTTTCTGTAGGCCTTCTTCTACAGGCAGCAAACCTTCTCTGGGTTAAGAAGACCCAGAGAAGGTTTGCTGCCTATAGAAGACTCACAGAGTCCACTGTAGCCAGAAAATTTTCTGTGGGTTTTTTATAGCCAGAAGACTTTCTGTAAGTCTTCTAAGGTCAAAAGATCTCATGTAGGCCTACTAAAGCCAGAAAACCTTATGTGGGTCTTTTATGCCCAGAAGACCTTCTGCAGGTCTTCTAAAGCTAAAAGACCTTATGCGTGTCCTCTGTAGCCAGAAGACTTTCTGTAGGGCCTGTAGAGACAGAATATCTTCTGTGGATCTTCTATATACACAATACCTCATGTGGGTCTTCTACAGCCAGAACACCTTCTGTTGGCCTTCTAAAGCCAGAAGACCTTCTGTAAGTTTTATAAAGCCAGAAGACCTTTTGTGGGTCTTTTAAAGCCAGAAGACCTTATGTGGGTCTTTTAAAGCCAGAGGACCTTCGGTGGGTCTTCAAAAGCCAAAATACCTTCTATGAGTCTTCATAGATCGAAGACCTTCTCCAGGTTTTTAATGCCTTTCTGTGGGTCTTTTAAAGCTAGAAGACCTTCTGTTGGTATTTTAAAGTGTGAAGGCCTTTTGTGGGAGTTTTAAAGCCAGAAGACCTTCTGTGGGTCTTTTGTAGCCAGAAGACCTTCTATATGATTTTAATGACCTTCTTTGGGTCTTCTGTCTTTTCGACCTTCTGCTATTCTTTTAAAGCCAGAGGAACTTCTGTAGGTCTTTGGTAGCCAGAATACCCTCTATAGGTCTCTTATAGCCTGCTGCCCTTCTGTGAGTCTTCTTTAGCCAGAAAATTTTCTGAAGAGATAAGTGGTCCTCGTTGAGTGTTCTATGGATATAAGATCTTCCATAGGTCTTCAATGGATAGAAGAGTCTCTGCGGGTCTCCTATTGATGAGACTCTGTGAGTTTTCTATGAGTAGAAAGGCCTCTGTGGGTCTTATATGTAGCCCCTGAGCCTCTTCTATGGCTACAACAGTTTTTGTTGCTCTTCTATGGGTAGAATACCATCTGTGGATAACAGATAAAAGAACCTCTGCGAGGCTTCTATGTATTGTAGAACCTCTATTGGTCCTTTCTGATTTTTCAGCCTCTGCTGGTCTTTTATGGTCTTCTGAAGAGATAGAAGGTCCTCCGTGAGTATTCTATGGATATAAGCTATTTCATAGGTCTTCAATGGATAGAAGAATCTGTGCGGGCCTTCCATTGATAATAGAGCCTCTGTGAGTCTTCTCTACATAGAAAACAATCTGTGGGAGTTTTATGGAAAAATACCTCTGTCTGAGGCTTCTACGGGTAGAAGAGCCACTATGTCTGTCTCTATGAGTCTTCTGTGGATAGAAAATGCTCTGTGGGTAGACAAGCCTCTTAGCATCTTCTATGGCTTCAAGAGTTCCTGTTGCTCTTCTCTGGGTAGAATACCATCTGTGGAGCCATTATGGATAAAAAACCTCTGTGAGGTTGTTCTACATATAGAAGAGCCTCTGTTAATTCTCTATGGATAGAACAACCTCTGCTGGTCTTCTATGGATAGGAGAGCATCTGCGGACCTTATTTTGATAATAGAGCATCTCTGGCTCTTCTATAGATAGAGCACAATCGTTGGAACTTTTATTGACAAATGCCCCTCTCTGAGGCTTCAACGGATAGAAGAGCCTCTGTGTCTGTTTTTTTTTTGTGAATAAAATACCCGCCATGGGTCTTTTATGAATAAAGGAGACCCTGTGGGTCTACCATGTATAGTCAATCCTCCAAGGAGTTTCCATAGATAGACGAATCCTATCAGACTTCTGTGGGTAAAAATTCCTCTGTGGGTGGTTGCAACATAAAATTTAGTACAAGATCTTTTTGGCATGCCATTTTCCGAACCTTTGCATGTAATTTATTTCCCCTATATATACAATTTTTTTTCTGCTACCAATCAAACCTACAAACAATTTTATTCCATACTACTTCTTCTACAACATTTTCAAAATATCATTACCAAGATAAAAAAACATTTTCTTCTTCTTCTCGCATTCATTACAACTTGTTCATACATTACAACAATAACAAAAGATACTAAAATAAAAAACCGAAAAAAAATTCAAATACATTTTTTCTTACATATATTTTTTATTTCATGTTATATAATTGTTATTAATTTTTCTTCTCATTTCCTTTTTCCCCAATCGTCATTTAGGTGTTCCCGGCAAACGCAATGAAATCTACTATAACTGCTGTCCGGAACCATATATCGATATAACATTTGCCATTATAATACGACGACGAACGTTATATTATTTTTTTAATTTAATTATACCCTGTGTACTGATAGCATCGATGGCTTTATTAGGTTTTACACTGCCACCCGATTCGGGAGAAAAATTGTCATTGGGTAAGTAGAGAAAACAAAAAAATATATATAAATTAGAAATATAAGAAATAAATAAGAAATAATTATATAGGCCTTGAAAAATGAATCTTTAAAAAATCCCCGCCTGGGTAAGGCCTTGAAAAATTAATCTTTAAAAATCCACGCCTGGGTAAGGCCTTGAAAAATTAAAAAATCCACGCCTGGGTAAGGCCTTGAAAAATGAATCTTTAAAAAATCCACGCCTGGGTAAGGCCTTGAAAAATGAATCTTTAAAAAATCCACGCCTGGGTAAGGCCTTGAAAAATGAATCTTTAAAAAATCCACGCTTATATAGGCCATGAAAAAATAATCTTTAAAAAATCCACGCCTTGTTAAGGCCTTGAAAAATTAATCTTTAAAAAATCCACGCCTTGTTAAGGCCTTGAAAAATTAATCTTTAAAAAATCCACGCCTTATATGGGCATTGAAAAATTAACAAAATCTCCTCCCCTTCAATTTTTTTTTTGTATATATCCTTGTGTTTGCTTAGCTGAATTTATGTCAAGGTTTAATTTCCGCTCCAGTGACACTTTCAAAATTCCTCACCCCCCCTCTCCCACCGATGGCTCCTGCTGGTATGTTGTACGAAGTTAACATAACATTGTTAAATATTTGACGAGAGAAAAAAATCCCCTAGAATATGCAGCTCAAAAACCAAACCGCAAGCCAAAGACGTTTGCCGTTTAAGAAAAATGTAAGTGCAGGATGACCTGCATAAAATTTGCATTTTGCAAATGCCCCCAAAACCGTGAAGAAAAATTGAATTTTCAACCGAGAAAGTGAAAAACAAACGATCACAGGGAAATTGACCAGCAGAATGGAAGAATAGCACTTTAAGGCCCAAGACATTTCATGGTAAATAAACTTAGGAAAAGAGGAGGATGAAAAAGGCGGAGAAAGGAAAAAAGAAAAATTGTTTAACTTCATCGTTCTTCGGATACAAGGACAAATGTTTCCTTTCTTTGAATTGAAAATAAATACATGGGGGCTAAACTATACATTGCTTTACTGCCGTGTAAATCCCTCGAAAGTAGGCTATAAAATAAGGTAATTTTGAACAAATAAAACTAAACCAACCATCCAACCCCCAAAAGTATACTACACAATTTGCTATGTGTAACCCCCATAAGTAGGCAACACATTTCTATCTTTATGTCTATCATATCAATTATACGTTTGGGTGTCCACTGCTCATTAAACACACACACACAAGGCACACACACATACACAGAGATATTTGTATTGGAATTGTCTGTCTCCGATGGCATTCTGTTTCAATTTCCATTACTCCCCTTCACCACCTCCTGGCTAAATAACTTAGCATTTAGTCTTAAGTGTGGTCATTTTGCAAATCAAATTCCAGTGTTTGTGGTAAATACTGGTCTGCTGCTGCTGGTGGTGGTGTTAGACATTGTGGTCCATTTGTTGAAACCTTTGAATTTACAATGTCATTTACATAGCTGTTAACACAAACGCACACACACTCACACATAAAATTATACGCACACAACTACCGCACATAGGTATGAAGAGCGTGCAATCAGCGACAAGCTTCATAAAACTGGGGATTTTCAAAAGCTTTCACGAACACACAACTGCTAATTATTTTGTCTACTTAAAATTGTTGTTGTTGTAGGGGGATTGGAATTAAATTAACATTACAATTCGGACTAAGAGATAATTAACAGAGGGTGGACATGTACAGGGAAGACCTTTAAACAAAGGTTGGAATTTTTAAAACTATTGTTTCAAAGTTTTATTAAATTCGAGGAATTATATAACTTTAAAATATTTTTTAATGTAACATAAAAGATCTATATATGGCGAGGACTTTTTAAAAAATATTTTATAAGTTTCTATCATAGGCGTGGATTTTTAAAGAATATTTTTTCAGAGTCTATATACTTTTTCCCGGGGCCTACATAAGGCGTGGAGTTTTAATGAATATTTTTTCAGAATCTATACAATTTTCCCGGGGCCTATATAAGGCGTGGATTTTTAAATAATATTTATTCAGAGACTATATAACTTTTCCTGGAGCCTATATAAGACGTAGATTTTTAAAGAATATTTTTTCAGACTCTATATAATTTTTCCTGGGACCTATATAAGGCGTGGATTTTTTAAAGAATATTTTTTCAGAGTATATAAAGGCGAGGATTTTTTAACAAATATTTTTCAAGGTCTACCAAAGGCATGGATTTCTTAAAGAATATTTTTTCAAAGTCTATATAATTTTTCCTGGGGCCTATATAAGGCGTGGAGTTTTAATGAATATTTTTTCAGAGTCTATATAATTTTTTCCCTTGGCCTATATAAGGCGTGGATTTTTTAAAGAATATTTTTTCAGAGTCTATAGAAGGCGTGGATTTTTTAAAGAATATTTTTTCAGAGTCTATAGAAGGCGTGGATTTTTTAAAGAATATTTTTTCAGAGTCTATAGAAGGCGTGGATTTTTTAAAGAATATTTTTTCAGAGTCTATAGAAGGCGTGGATTTTTTAAAGAATATTTTTTCAGAGTCTATAGAAGGCGTGGATTTTTTAAAGAATATTTTTTCAGAGTCTATAGAAGGCGTGGATTTTTTAAAGAATATTTTTTCAGAGTCTATAGAAGGCGTGGATTTTTTAAAGAATATTTTTTCAGAGTCTATAGAAGGCGTGGATTTTTTAAAGAATATTTTTTCAGAGTCTATAGAAGGCGTGGATTTTTTAAAGAATATTTTTTGTAGAATAGGCGTGGATTTTTTAAAGAATATTTTTTCAGAGTCTATAGAAGGCGTGGATTTTTTAAAGAATATTTTTTCAGAGTCTATAGAAGGCGT